ACAGGTTCATTACATACCCCAGCCCCCAGAAATCCACTGGTCAGCCCTTCCAAAGTTGTCCGACTGATGGTATATGTCAGTCAGCATTGATAGACCTGAGGCATAGTCACCTCCTGAAGGAGCTTCTGAATTAGGGGAGTAAATTAGGTAGAATTAAGTTTATACATCTGTCTTCATCTTACTGAAGGGTGATAGTGGCCAAGAGTATGACCTCTGAGATCAGACTTCTGGATTTGTAGCTCAGCCCTACTTCTTACTAGCTATATGATTGTGAGAAAGTGATTTATCTTCTCTGCACCTCTCCTCACCCGTGTGTAAAATGCATTTAAATGCATGATCACAACTGACATGCTTAGAAATGTACCACGCACATAATAAGGGTTCAAGAAATGTTAACTGTTGTAGTAGGTGGAGTAATGACTTCTGCTGAAAATTTCCACACCTAATCTCCGGAGTCTGTAAATATGCTGTTACATGGCAAGGGGGAGTTAAGGTTGCTAATCAACTGACCTTAGCTTGGGGAGAGCCTGGATTAGCTGAGTGAGTCCAACCTAATCACAAATGTCCTTGTAATGAAAGAGCGAAGCAGAAGAGTGAATGTCAGAGTCAGAGAGAGATTTGAATGTGAAATACTGTTGGCTTTGAAGACAGAGGGAGAGGAATGCAGGCACCTCTAGAAGCTGGAAAGGCAAGGAAAGGATTCCCCCCAGAGCCTCTGAAAGGAACACAGCCTTGCCAACACGGTGATTTTAATGTAGTGACCCATGTTTTGGATTTCTGACCTCTAGAACTATAAGATAATACATTTGTTTTATGCCACCAAGTTTGTGGTAATTTGTTACAACCACAATAGGAAACAAATACTGTCATTATTATCAACACTGAAAATGATGATGAGATAGATTTTCCTCCACAACCTCCAAAAACAGTGGTAATGAATTGATGGGGGTCTCAGAGAGGCCTCACCGCTATCTGCCACTTGGAGCCCACACCTTCCTAAGGCTGAGTTTCCCCTGGGGTTACCAGACAGAGATAAGTATCTGTTAAGTGAAGGGGGAACCACTGCCCTGGGACTGCA